GAGAGAGAGAGAGAGAGAGAGAGAGAGAGAAGGTGCCCGGTGTATTGTGGGGGGTCCTCTGGCAGACTAGGCCTAAGTCAGCCTAACTAGGGGCTGGTACAGGGCAAGCCTGAGCCAGCCCTAACTATAAGCTTTATCAAAGAGGAAAGTCTTAAGTCTAGTCTGAAATGTGGAGATGGTGTCTGCCTCCCGGACCGCAACAGGAAGATGATTGTCTTAAGGCTGCAGTATGTGGACATGGGGTTTCCCGCCTGGTGGTGCTGCATTCACTTTCGCCTGCAACCCGGTTTTGTTCTATCCTCTGTTATCTAGAGTGGCCGCGATCAGCTCCACCAGCAGCATCGCATCCGAAGCCATAGTTTTGCTCTCAGGTATTGAAATTTGGTAGTACCTTAAACATAATGAGTTTGGTACACAGTCCGTCTATTTGTGCCTTTAATTGTTTAGTGCCCACAGTGTGAGGAACTCTGCTGAACATTAAATGAGCCACACCATGTTTTCCCTTCCATTTTTTTCATCCATTAAAGAATAAAAATACATTCACAGCTTGGATTATAGTAACATTTAATTACTAGGACAGGGTTATTAATTCATTCATCTCATTTTAGCTTTGTTATTGTCCTCTCTTTTTATCTCCGAAACAAAAAAGACAGTGACACTATATCCATAGACAGCATTACACAGGGGGCACTAGTCACCATTGTTTACCTTTTCCTGTTTTCACCTGCCTGTTTTGCTCTATCAGCGGTTAATCTAAATAACGTGACATAATAATGTTGGCCTGCTGCCAGAAGAGCACCACAAAGAGTCAGAAGATGACACAGCAGAGCTTTGAAGACAAATCCCATGTTACTAAATGTGGGTTGGGTTGAACTGTCCAGTCACAGAAAGACCTAATCAAGTGTTTCTTGTTTTTTATTGCCATTAATGTTGACACATGTAGGTGGCAATCGCATATATACACATATATACACAAGCACACAAACAAACACAGATGGGCGTGACAGTTACCTGTGTGAAGCCCCTCCCTGTGTCTCTGTAGGGCTCTATAAAACCACCCAGCCTGTTGGACATTTCAACAGAAACTGCTTTCAGTCTTTTCTCTCTCTGTGTCGAGACAAAAATGAAGATGATGCTCGCTGTGGTTGCCTCCCTGTTGCTGATTCTCCCGTTCCAGGCCGAAGCTGAATCATGTATTGACAAAGATGTGGAAGTCTGGGTGGCAAGTGGCCACGGTCTTACAGGAGATGGACTTCTGAACCCAGATCCCTATGTTGTGGTGAGTTGTTGGCTATCCTTAAAATATGTAAAACCGAAAATGGGGAATGCTGTTTTTTGATGCAGTGTGCTTCTTATTCTTTATACTGTGACCACAAAATATAGGATTCATGCCAAAGTCCAAAAACTCACTTGCATGAAACATGATTCAACAGTATCTTAATATTTGTACAACTACTGTATCCCATTTTGTTCACAGCACAGTCAGGTCTCTTTTATCGATTTGTGGACGTTTTCCCTGACTTGTTTGTAAGTGGATAATTATCCTCCATCTGATTATTTTTAATGAGATTATTTCTATTTCCCAATTTGATCTAACAGGTGAAAATTGGCCCCGTCAAGAAACAAACCAAGGTCATTTACTCCAATGACAACCCAACTTGGTGGGAGAAGCTGACTTTCCCTGAAGCCAGCAGCGACACGATGACAGTAGAGGTCTGGGACAAAGACTCGATCACCTCTGATGACAAAGAGGGAACCTGCACAGAACAACTGGTCGCCAGTAAATCTTTTCAATCAGTTGAGTGCAAAATGAACAGCGGCAGAAGTTATGTCAAGCTCTTCTACAAGTGCACTTAATGTCACCTGCTCTTGAAAATGACAGAAAATACTCATGCTCATTGAGATTGGTGGTAGAAAAATGCAACTTCTTATGGATTACTTATGGTTCCATAATATTCTGTTTGTTTCAAAATGGATGTATGCTGTTATGAAACTATATTATCAAATGCCAGAGTGTGTAAAACAGCTACTATTATTGTACCTGTGTGCAACAGAAAATTGTGTTACAAGAGCTGTGTTTTCTCTGTACTGTTGGCTATTTAGGAACGGCAGCTTGTCCGTTCCGTCTCTGCACAACTGTAACTTCTCATGGAAAGATAGAACACAGTTTGAAAAAGAGTGAAAGAATAAAATCAAGTGAAGAAAAACTATTTGTTTTGAATTCATGTTTGTTTGAGCGCTCATAACAGGAATGAAATACTTTACAGAAAATAAACAGAAGAAAGGCAGGATGGGTTCATGCCAGTGAAAGGTCACATATAAATAATATAAAAATATTACACATGCTGAACGAGGATAAGTTATGCTCAAGTACCATATGATTTCAGTGAATACTGCAAACATGTTAAGCCATACAGCAAGTCCTGTTGCAATTATTACATGACCTCCTGATGGCAGTTATCTAGCTGACTGTGATTATTTTATGCATTCGTTAAAATAGTTTCCATTCATCTGTTTTAATGCAGATTTTCAGTTTTCACATATTTTGCCTCCTTCTTTTTAATTTTTTTGGAGAATTAGCATCGACAGCTCTTAATATTGGGGCGGCAGTAGCTCAGTCTATAGGGACTTGGGTTGGGAACCGGAGGGTCGCCTGTTCGAGTCCCCATCCGGACCAAAATATGGAGCGTGGACTGGTGGCTGGAGGGGTGCCAGTTCACCTCCTGGGCACTGCCGAGGTGCCCTTGAGCAAGGCACCGAACCCCCCAACTGCTCGGGGTGCCTCACCAAGGGCAGCCCCCTCACTCTGACATCTCTCCACTTTGTGCATGTATAGGTCCTGTTTGTGCATGTGTGTGTGTCTTTCAGACCTGTGTGTAATAGACAAGCAAGAGTGAAAACATCGAATTCCCACTCAGGGGGATTAATAAAGTAAATAATCCCCTCAGGGGGATTAATAAAGTAAATAATCCCCTCAGGGGGATTAATAAAGTAAATAAACAATAACAACGTTCTTATGCTGAAGAGCATTTACAGATAACATTTTGTTGCTTAATTTCATTATGTTTAAACACAGTTTTACATTTTGTGCAATGTTATCTGACCAAAATTGATATGTTATGTAATATCTTCAATCAGGAAAGACTGATAAAAGAGGTTAAGATAAAGTTTAATAGAAAAAGTACAAGTAAATAAGATATTGCAACAATAAAAATGTTCAAAGACAAGTAAACACATACCAAAGACTATTAGAGGTGATTAAAATTTAACAGAAGACTTTGGCGCTTGGACTCCAGAGAGATTTTCGTCATTGATGGACATCTGAACAGCAGCAAGATAAATCCCCCCAGTCCAGACACTGGTGGTGATGGCTGTTGACTCTGAGGCTGATGGCTGTTGAGGCTGATGAATCAGTAAAGGTTAAGGGGTGATAGGATGGCGGAGGGTTTGCATGACTGCAGCAGAAAAAGAATCATATAAAAATGAGAAGCAATAAGATGATAAGCTAAGATAAGCTAAACCAGCTCAGTGGCCTAGCGGTAGAATGTCCGCCCTGAGACTGGGAGGTCGTGGGTTTGATCCCCGGCCAGGTCTATAGACTATAAAAATGGGACCTCAGCATCAGGGGTTGGAATTGGGGGATGAGATCACCACATGATTCCCGAGCGCGGCACTGCTGCTGCTCACCGCTCCCTCAGGGGATGGGTCAAATGCAGAGAACAAATTTCACACACTCGTGTTCACTACTGACATAGACTCATAAACATACAGAAAACCCGGCAGGAGCGCTCTCTTAATTCAGGTCTTGGGTTTATTTCTTTGATTTTTAATGATACATAGGGCAGTATGGAGGTGTCAGATTTCTCCCAAAATATCCAATAAATTCATTATTGTATGTCATTTGAGATGAGCATGGAGGTATGTGTGACTGTTTACTGGCATTGCGGGTTTAAATGTTTTCAAACCATTTAGTTTCTGTAAAGCATTTCATTCCGGCTATGAGTGCACCGGAAAACACACATTGAAAACAAATATTGTTTACTTCTTTTGGTTTTATTCATTGCTGTTTTCATTTCAAACTGAATCCTCTTTCAGTGAGAAATTATAGTTGTTCAGAAAAGATACAGATCTGCTGCAGTGTCTAAAAAGCCAACTGTACAAAGAAAATACAGCTTTTTTTAACACAAGATTCAATGGTGATGAATTTTCTTCATTTTTCAACTGCTGAGCGACCAAAAAGTCACAGGTAGACAATATAAGATATTTTGCACACTGTGGCCTTTGAAAATAAAGTTTCTTTACAGCAGACATCCATTTTGAAATAAACAAAAGGACAATATTGTGGGAAAAGAATCATCAGTATTTAGTCAAGTTTTGGTTTTCTACCACAAATACTTTGACGAGAAAGAGAATTTGCTTCACCTCAGATCGGTCTTTTACATTTTCAAGAGCAGGTTACATTTAGAAACACCTGTAGAATGCGTTGACAACACCTGTATTGTCATCCATTTTGCACTCAATGGTGCGGAAATCTTGACCATTTGAGGACATTGGCACCATGCACGTTCCCAGTTTGTCATCGGCAGTGAAATCATCTTTGTCCCAGACCTCCATTTGAAGCATGTCGCTAGTGGCCTCGGGAAATTCCATCTTCTCCATCCAACTTGGGTTGGTGCTTGAATTAATGACTTTGGTCTTTTTGGAGTCACTGCCGATTTTCACCTGTTAGATCAAATTGGGAAATTTAAAAGGAAAAAAAAATAATAATAATAATCACATTGAGGATATTTTTCTTACAAACAAGTCAGAGACAATTTACACACACACCAATAAAAAAAAGACCTGGTTGTGCTGTGTAAAAAAGGGGAAATATTAACATATTGTTTAAACATGTTTTATGTAATTCATTTTATTATGCATGATTCTGTACTATATCCCATTTCTTTTCTTTAACTTTTTAAAGGAGAGGGAATGTCTTTAAGTTTAACATTTATTAGATGTACAAGGATGGATTTCTAAAATCCAAATCTATGTGAGTGCAGGTACATTTTATAAAATAATCAAATCAAATAATTAATTTAATGTGAGGGGCTGCTGAACCCGTTGGAATATTCTTATGCAAGATTGGGGATACATTTTTCATTGAAGTTTTTGTAGACTAGTCATACTTCTATTATTATACACATGTAATTATTATTGGCGCTTATGTATACAACCATTGATTAATATATAAAACATACCATCAAACTACTTTTATTATAATTAATATAGCTATTGTTATAGTTTTTAGTTTAATTGTTGCTGTGAGGGTCAAAGGATAGAAGGATGTCATGTGCTGTAAAGCCCTCTGAGGTGATTTGTGATATCGGGCATGATAAATAAAATTGAAAATTGAATTAAAATTGAAGTCATAGCATAAATAAAAGAAGCACACTGCATCAAATTTGCCATTTTATGTTTGGTTATATTTTGAGAAAGATAGCCAACAACTCACCACAACATAGGGATCTGGTCTTCCAAGTCCTTCATGTAGGTTTCTGCCATTTGACACCCAGATTTGAACGGTTTTACCATAGCATGAGCCAGCTTCGGCCTGGAATGGCACGATCAGCAACAGGCAAGCAAACACAGCAAGCTTCATCTTCAGTTGTGTCTTCACCCAGACAGAGAAAGACAGATAAGCAGCTCCTGGCTGAAATGTCCGAGCTGGACAATTTTATAGAGCTCTACAGTAATGGAGGGCGGTTCTTCAAACAGGTGACTGACCCGCCCATCTGTGCATATGTGTGTGTTTGTGGGAACATATTTTATATATTTGCATAGCTCCACTTATCTGTATGGTCTGAGGAATGTAACTAATGCTTAAGCAGGTAAACTGAAAGAAATCGAACTTCAATAATATAACAAACCCAACAAAGAGATGATAAAACAGATGCTTTGCTCTGACTGTAACTTTTCTGAACGTACTGGCCCCATTCTTTGTCTTTATGGAGATAAAACATTGTCAGCTCTAACCCCTGGAAGGCACTAACAGTCATGTTTGCAAAGGGTGGCCAATAATTTACATGTGTCTATACATGATGTTTTCTCAAAAAACAAACAAAAAAACAGCTAACAAAAACAGTCACCTCTATTTAGCTTTTAGACGTACGTCATATATTAGTATTGCTGTAAATGGTGCTGTTGCCCTGGGGGGTGTTTACTTTGTGTTACGTGGAGTTTGTACTGAAGCATCCATCCATCTGTACTCATTATCCTTTGAAGGGTCACGAGGGTCTGAAGCTTATCCTGGCTACAGACTGGAATCCTGTCTAGACAAGTCCTGTCTCACACCAACTGCCGCCAGCGATAGCCTTGGCCGGAGCCATTATTTTTTTGGGTTGTCCATCTGTCTGGTGAGGACAATATCTCAATAATGCCTCAAGAGAATTTTGTCATATTTGGCACAAACTCAACAATGAAGTGACTCGTTTTTAGTGGTCATAGGCCAAAGGTCACTGTGACCTCGTCTGTCTCATTCTCGTGAACACAAGATCTCAAGAAAGCCGTGAGGGAATTTCTTCAAATTTGGCACAAATGTGGATTTGGACTTGAGTATGAACTGATAACATTTTGGTGGTCAAGGCTCAAAGGTCAAGGTTGCAATGAACTTGCATCCCTCTTATTCTTGTGAATGTGATATCCCAAAAACAGTGCAAATTTGGCACAAATGTCCCATTGGACTCAACGATGAATTCGGTTTTGGTGGTCAAGGGTCACAGGTCAAGGTCAGTGTGACCTTGTCTGTCTATCTTGTGAATGCGATATCTCAAAAAGCTTTGAGGGAATTTCTATAAATTTACCACAAATGTTCACTTGGACTCAGCAATGAACTGATTGGATTTCGGAGGTCAAAGGTCAGGGTCAGTGTGACCTTGAATCTGTGTCATACTCATGAACCCGATATCTCAAGAACACCTGTAGAGAATTTCTGGACTGAAGAATAAACTGATTAGAATTTTGTGGTCAAGGTCAGTGCAACAAGAATTCCGCTACTTAGGACAGAGCTTCACACAAATGTCTAATAGGATAGAATAATGGAGTGATGACATTTTATATCCAAAAGGTCAAAGGTCAGCTTCATTTTGTCATCATAATCAGCATAAAACACTTTTCTTGTCATTACTCACTGTCATATCTCAGGAACAGAATGGAAAATATTTGGTCAGAGAATTGATTGGTGACACTCTTTCATCTGTGGTGCCTGCCTTGTAAATATGCAAGTTGTTTGGATCCTCTGTGCTGTCGGGGGAAAATGTGTGTGAAGCATTCATGTTTTCACAGACATGAATGTAACCATGTCTGATGACTGGTGCACAGAGGCATACAATCGTGGGGTGGTAATTCTAGTTTATTAATAACAATCTTTCTTGGTATTGATAAATAAACATGACAGGTCTAAAGCACCACAATTGCTGCACTCTGCAGCTGGGTAACACTTTATTTGAATAGTCCACCTCAACATTTCAACAGCTTTTTAGTTGTGATTCAACACTTCTGCTGTTTTGCTTTATTCTGTAGGTGTTTAACAGACTATCTATAGAGTATATCTGACATTTCCTTAGCATAACTATATATATATCCTTAAACTAATTTAAATGAACTTGCAGCATAGGTTCAATTAATAATTCAAGTTTAACTAAATTATTCTGAGAATATGTAGTGAATTTCACATATTTTCTATTGCACAGACAAGGCGAAACAGCTGATTTTCTGAATGTCAATTAATAAGCTGTTGGAATTTAACAAATAAACTCTGAGGTGGATTATCCAAATAAAGTGACACCTGAAGCTATACTTAAGCAAAAAAGTACTTTGAGCTACATGCTCAAGAGAGAAAGTAGGAAGAAAATCAAAATGATTTCAAAGAAAACAGTAAGATATTGCAGTAATGTTGCAGGGGGTGAAGAGAACACATAATGTGTATGAAAATGTAAACTAATCTATGGTTGGGTACCATTCACATTTGAACCAATACCTGTACCTGGAATTCAGTATCAGCACCCAGTGGTATCTTTATTCCATTACTTTACTCTCTCCATAAAAACAAAAATGTAATTTCAGTTGTAAAAATGAGTCAAAACTTTCAGCTGCTGTGCTGGAGGGAGAATCTGTGGGATTTCAAACTGGAGCAGAGTGTGCTCCATTTTGTTGAAAAAAAAAACCAAACAAAAAAAAGGACTTGAAGTGTAAATAAATGCTTCAGATCGATGTTATGCCTGTGAGACGCAGCTGAGATGTGAGCCTACACAGAGCCGCTGCAGACAGCTGCATAGATTAAAATGAGAGCATATCTGTTGGCAAGTGAAAAATGTGTCTGATACCTCTGTGGTCTAGACATGGGGTTTCCCACCTGGCGGTGCAACATCGCCTTGTGGCTGCTACCCAATTTTGTCCCGTCCTCCACTGTTCAAAGTGGCCACAATTAGCTCCTCCAGCCCAGTCTTTCACCCTGATGTTTATGCCTTCAGTTGTTTAGTACTCACAGTGTTAGATACTTTACTCAACGTTGAATGAGCCACACTTGTCCAACCATGTTTTGTCTTACATTTTTCTTCCATTTAAAAAAAAAAACATACGTAGTTTGAAACATAGTTTTATTGGGTAACACAGAGAGGATTATTATTGATTATTGTCATCTCTTTTTATCTGCAAAATGAGAAACAATGGGGCCAGTTTGTTCATAAAGTTACAGTCACTAAAAGCAGAGCAAAAGCATCAGTTTTTCTCAACTCTTTGTTGGGTTGATTAAATTATTGAAGGTTCATTTCTATCATCTTACCTGCATAATATGGACCTATCGACTTTAGAAATTTATTTAGCATGAAACCAAAATTGCAAATACATGGTTTGTCTTGTATAACAGCAATCCAAGCGATTCAGTAGCCCCTCACATGACTTGAATTAATCGATGCGTCAGTTTTATTTAACACTTTAATTGAATGAAAAATGCCCATTCATAAAATGTACCTGCACTCATAGAGATTTACATTTTTTAAATCCATTCATGTACATGTAATATAAGTTACACTCAGTGATATCCCCTCTAATGTACATTTTGTGAACTCTAACTATCTGCATAAAAGAAACAGGATATAGAAAAGATTAATTCTAAAAATCCTTTACTTTAAAGAAGTTACAGAAAACATGATTTGACAATATGTTAATATTTTTATCGACAAGCAAAATGCAAAGTCATTCATTAAAAATAACCCAATTTGGTGGCAGAGGGTACACTTGGCGGTGCCAGCAGCGATACAATGATTATAGAGGTCCAGGACAAAGATGAGTTCCCGATATGAACTCCATTTTTAATATATCGTAACTTGTATCCAAAAAAAATGTCTGTGTCCATTTTCATAGTATTTAATTGAAGATTTGTGGAGATAAAAATGTTTATTGATTTTGCATATTCTTTAAAATATATAGTGATTGGTGCAGTGAGGGAAATCAGGCATTTCAGCTTTGTAGGGCGTACTGGTGATTCATTATGATTTTTTTGAAGTTTTTAGTGTGAAATATAGATATATTGTAATGAGTCACACCCTCTTTAAACAATCAATATGAAATTTTATGCATCAAATGAGTCATGACTATAGATGGTGCAACCTGAGCTTCATACAAATCCCTGTAGCTGATAAGGAGATATTACCTTTTTGCATGTGTGATGCCCTCTAGTGGCAGACTATCCCAAGACTGCTTCGCGATGCTTGGACAAAGCCTCTGAACATGTGCACCAACTTTGGTTACAATTGCTTCAGCCATTTTAGATATATGAGTATTTATTTGAAATTGAACTTAAAGACAAATGTTTAAAAATGTACGACTTTAAAACAGATTGATGTATCGTAATTTCCTTGATAATTTATTTTACAATCAAAATTACTAGTTGTCCAAACATGTTTTTTTTTTCTTCTTTTTTTTTTGCCCTTGATCCAGATCCAAGTCATTGAGTATCTGCCAATACCCTGTCCCGATCTGATATTTCTATTGTCCTATAACACACCTGCACAGTGCACACTTTAGGAATGCTTCTTTAAAGTTAGTTTTAAAAAGCATTCTTAAAACATGGTCACTCAAGGTAAAACCAGGCAAGTTTTCTACTATTTTACAAGTGAGACAAACCATTTTAATTAATAATTATCAGAAAAACATATTGGGGGGTGGGGGCACGGGGCAAGGTTTTCTAGAGCAGCTGGGTAATGCTCCTCTGAATGCTTAAACTAAGCACCATCACAACCATGTGCTCCAGAGAAGGGATGTGTTCAGTGCTGACATAGATCTATAAACAGAGAAGAACCAGCCGGAGCCCTCTTCTGATTCAGGTCTTGGGCTGCCTGTGGTTTATTTCTTTGATTTTATATGACACATTGGGCAGCGTTGAAGTGTCATATTTCTCCCAAAACATCCAATAGATTCAGTATTGTATGTTATTTAAGATGGGCACAGAGGTATGTGTGACTGTTTACTGGCATTGACATCTGTGAGGCATTTCATTCCTGTTATGAGTGTGCTAACAAACATACAGTACAGGCCAAAAGTTTGGACACACCTTCTCATTCAATGCGTTTTCTTTATTTTCATGACTATTTACATTGTAGATTCTCACTGAAGGCATCAAAACTATGAATGTACACATGTGGAGTTATGTACTTAACAAAAAAAGGTGAAATAACTGAAAACATGTTTTATATTCTAGTTTCTTCAAAATAGCCACCCTTTGCTCTGATTACTGCTTTGCACACTCTTGGCATTCTCTCCATGAGCTTCAAGAGGTAGTCACCTGAAATGGTTTCCACTTCACAGGTGTGCCTTATCAGGGTTAATTAGTGGAATTTCTTGCTTTATCAATGGGGTTGGGACCATCAGTTGTGTTGTGCAGAAGTCAGGTTAATACACAGCCGACAGCCCTATTGGACAACTGTTAAAATTCATATTATGGCAAGAACCAATCAGCTAACTAAAGAAAAACCAGTGGCCATCATTACTTTAAGAAATGAAGGTCAGTCAGTCCTGAAAATTGCAAAAACTTTAAATGTGTCCCCAAGTGGAGTCGCAAAAACCATCAAGCGCTACAACGAAACTGGCACACATGAGGACCGACCCAGGAAAGGAAGACCAAGAGTCACCTCTGCTTCTGAGGATAAGTTCATCCAAGTCACCAGCCTCAGAAATCGCAAGTTAACAGCAGCTCAGATCAGAGACCAGATGAATGCCACACAGAGTTCTAGCAGCAGACCCATCTCTAGAACAACTGTTAAGAGGAGACTGTGCCAATCAGGCCTTCATGGTCAAATAGCTGCTAGGAAACCACTGCTAAGGAGAGGCAACAAGCAGAAGAGATTTGTTTGGGCCAAGAAACACAAGGAATGGACATTAGACCAGTGGAAATCTGTGCTTTGGTCTGATGAGTCCAAATTTGAGATCTTTGGTTCCAACCGCCGTGTCTTTGTGAGACGCAGAAAAGGTGAACGGATGGATTCCACATGCCTGGTTCCCACTGTGAAGCATGGAGGAGGAGGTGTGATGGTGTGGGGGTGTTTTGCTGGTGACACTGTTGGGGATTTATTCAAAATTGAAGGCACACTGAACCAGCATGGCTACCACAGCATCCTGCAGCGACATGCCATCCCATCCGGTTTGCGTTTAGTTGGACCATCATTTATTTTTCAACAGGACAATGACCCCAAACACACCTCCAGGCTGTGTAAGGGCTATTTGACCAAGAAGGAGAGTGATGGAGTGCTGCGGCAGATGACCTGGCCTCCACAGTCACCGGACCTGAACCCAATCGAGATGGTTTGGGGTGAGCTGGACCGCAGAGTGAAGGCAAAGGGGCCAACAAGTGCTAAACACCTCTGGGAACTCCTTCAAGACTGTTGGAAAACCATTTCAGGTGACTACCTCTTGAAGCTCATGGAGAGAATGCCAAGAGTGTGCAAAGCAGTAATCAGAGCAAAGGGTGGCTATTTTGAAGAAACTAGAATATAAAACATGTTTTCAGTTATCTCACCTTTTTTTGTTAAGTACATAACTCCACATGTGTTCATTCATAGTTTTGATGCCTTCAGTGAGAATCTACAATGTAAATAGTCATGAAAATAAAGAAAATGCATTGAATGAGAAGGTGTGTCCAAACTTTTGGCCTGTACTGTACATTGGAAACAAATATTATCTTCCGATTTTATTCATTCACCTTTTCATTTGAAACAGAATTATATCTTTAAGTGAAAGGTTATTATAGTTGTGCAGAAAAGATACAGAGCAGGTGCAGTTTCTTAAAGCCAACAGAACAGAGGAAAAACAGCAATTTTTTTAAACACAAGTTTCAATTTCACAAATAATGGTGATGAATCGTGTTTATTTTTCAACTGTCTAATGACCAAAAAGTCACAGGTAGACAATATTAGCTATTTGCACACTGTGGCCTTTATAAATATAGTTTCATAACAGCAAACGTCAATTTTGAAACAAGCAAAGAACAATATAGTGGGAAAAGAACCATCAGTATTTAACACAAAGTTCTGTTTTTCCACCACCAAACATTTCAAAGACAGAGAATTTTCTTCACCTCAAATCCTTTCATTTTCAAGAGCAGGTTACTTTTAGTTACAGTTGTAAAGGATGTTGACAACACCTGTATTGTTGTTCATTCTGCACCTAATGGTGACATGACTTTGACCTTCATGTAACAGTTGCTCTGTGCATGCCCCTAACTTGTCATCAGGAGTGAACTTCTTTTTGTCCCAGACCTCGATTTCAATGATTTTGTTGGTGGCCTCTGGAAATTGTAACTCCTCCCACCACTCTGGGTTGGAACTTGAATCAATGACTCTGGATTTTTGTGTGTAACTGTTGATTTTCACCTGGAAGATCAAATTGGGAAATGGAAATAACTTTATTTAAATAATCACATGGAGGATGATTATTCACTTAAAAACAATGTTGTAGAATAAAGAGACTCAAAACACAGATTTGGACATTTGAGGGTTTACTTGCGAGAAAGCCAAAAAAATTGCACATCATGACAATTTATAGTGTCTAACAAACAGGAAGTATCAGTTGACACACCCACGGCTTTCCGGTACACATTAAAAGGTGTTTCCTGTCACTTAAGCTGCTGTTTTCCTGATATTCAGACACCCAGCTCTGTAAACAATTGCTTCTCCTCACATAACCAAATTTGGCCAGAGTCATGTCAGATCATTTAGTTGAAGTCACAACAGTCTACATCCAGCCATGCACATCATATTACACAATAAGAGTCAATGCCAGGTCATTTACACTCTAACAAGTCAGGGAAAATTTACACACACTTGTACAAATAACCTGACTGTGCTGTGTAAAAAGGACAAACAGTTGAAGTACATATATTGACATATTGTTCAGTCATGTTTTTGTAAGTTCATATTATACAGTGGAGAACATGCAATTTACATTTGAGGTAATATCTTTGAGTTGAACTTTTATAAGATGTTCATGGATGGGTTTCTAAAGTCCAAGTCCATATGGGTGCAGGTACATTTTACAAAAGGGCATTATTCATTGATTAAAGGTTACATTTCTTTTTGAATTCAGTGACATTGTTGGATTTAAATTAGGCATCAGTTAATTTAATGTGAGGGACTGCTGCAACAGTTGGATTGTTGTTATGAAAGATTATGCTTACATTTTCAGTGTTTTTTTTTTTTTTTTGTTACACGAATTTCTGAGGTCCATGTTGACATAAAAACATTAGCAATATGACAGTTACATTTACAAGCAGCATATAAAAAAGTAGCAAACTGCATTAAAAACCAGAATTATCCATTTTATGTTTGGTTATATTTTGAGAACTCACCACAACATAGGGATCTGGGCTTTGAAGTCCATCCCCAAGATTTTTGCCATGTGTCACCCAGACTAGCACTTTTTTATTGACACATGTGTTAGCTTTGGCCTGGAACGGTATAATCATCAGCAGGGAAGCAAACACAGCAAGCTTCATCTTCAGTTGTGTCTTTACCTTGAGAGAAAGAGATGGGGACGGAAAGAAAAGCAGTTCCTTTTTGAAATGGTCAACAAGCTGAAGATCTTCACAGAGCGCTTCAGAGATGGGGGGAGGGGCTTCAAACAGGTGACTCAGCCGTCCAACTGTGTATTGTGTTTGTGTGTGTGTGGGCAGGTCCAAATGTGTTCATCTGTGTAGCTCTACCTTTCTTAGCATTACTAATGCTTATGCAGGTAAAGTGATAACAGTTGAGTTGATAAAACAAAACTTAAGCTCTGCTTTTAGTGACTGTAACTTTTCTGACCATACTGGCCCCATTTCTTTTCTTAATTGAATAAAACCCAACAACAATAATCAAGCTAAAATGAGACGAATGCATTAATTATCCTTACTTTGTTGTCGAATATTACTGTCGCATACTGTTAGTATTTTTCTTATGAAATGGAAGAAAAGGAAGTGTCATCCTCAGTCTCATTCAGTGTTCAGCAGACACTGTCAGCTCCAAACCCTTGCAGGCACTAACAGTCGTGTTTGCAAAGGGTGGCCGCTTGGACAAGAGGTGAGGTTATATCCTGAACAGGTCACTGGTCAATGAAAGGGTTGACACAGAGACTACCAACCCAGTAGTTGTGTGATTCTGCGGTAATAATTTATAATTTGTAAACATTATATGTATTCAAAATCAGTGCATATTTCAGGAGCATGGAGTTAAAGATAAGTATGTGAATGTGATTTGGTTCGATGATGGTTTAACATAACAGACTTTGAAGCTGGTGATCTGTGGATGAGTTGTGTCTTTCATGGCGTTGATTATTGCGCAAGACCAGTCCATAGCACAACGCTAGCTGCACTCTGAAGCTGGGTAACATTTTATTTGGAGTTATCAGTCAATGCAACTTTGATTCGATGTACATGGATGGATTCCTGAAATCTAAGGGTGCTTTCAGACCTAGAGTTTAATTTCTTTGGTCAAAATCAGGGACTAATTTTGTCAAAAAGCATAACTGCCTAGAGTTGGTTCGTGTTCTCAGGTCAGCATTTAGAAGCAGACCAGATAAAATGCCTTGCGCAAGAACGCTGCTCTTGATTGGTCAGAATTTCCATGTGGGAAAAATCCAGGAAGTAAAGAAAACATTGAAGAAGAGTACACTTGCAAGATAAATGCGACACTTTCTAATGTCACAACGGAGGGACAACTACGCAGGTTGATTTTAGCGCTGCTCATCGTGGACTATATTGCTGTCATTGTTCATTTTAGTCAAACCATACAGTTTGAAGACGAGGCACGGCTCCAACTAGAAAACAATGTTTTGATGCATTGGATGTGCTGAATGTGCATATTAAAGGACCAGTGTGTAATATTTGGCATGGTCATATATATATATATATATATATAGCAAGGGCCTTGCTTTAGAGAAGTTGCCATCTTGCGCCGCCATGTATGTACGGCAGCCCAAGCGGACAATCCAGCCAGCCAGAGAACGCGTTTCGCATGTATAAATGAACCAACGAAGACAGCGGGAGGAAGGAAGAAGTAGGAGGAAACAGCAGAGAGTGTTAGTAGTTCGTTGATGGAGAGTAGTGAAAAGTTTTTTTAGTTATAAAGTTTGCGAATGGACCACACTTACCACGCAACAGGAGAGAATGAACCCGAACCGTCATCTGCGAGAAAAAGAAGACGCAACTTCACTCCTTGTGATGCACTCTCTGCGGCACTTTTCCTCCTGGTGATATATCTCCCCAGCGATGGTAGCAGTAGCACCGAATCCCATTCTGTGCAGCAAAATGGAGCGGATGATTCAGCCTCTCGTCTCGCCCGCTCAGCATCTAAGTTCCTCATCTGTATGCTCCGGCTCAAACAGGTATGGCTCTGGGTCTGCGTCTGCTACAATAAACTCTTCAAAATCGCGTTCAAAGTCATCCATTACAGCTACTATAGTCCGGAGATATTGCTAGGCTACATAAACAGCTGAGCTCTGTTTACAGGCTACGCTGTCAGTCAGTGTGCGGGCTGGAGATTTGTGGAGCAGGGAGGGGAGGAGGTGCCCGCTTGGTATTGTAAACGAGAATGTGTGTATGGAGTGTGTGTGTTACGCTAGAAGAGTCAGAGTTTGGGAGTCTTTTACCTTCTGGAGTGTTACCGGAGTTTTTGGAGTGCTCAAATAAACTGGCCTTTTTCCCGAACGCTACTCTGGTCTCCTGCTCGTGAGGGATTCATTACAATATCGTAACATGGTTTAGATTTCTAAATAAATATTCACCTCGTCGCTAGATAGACCTACTCCTGAAAAACTCGTGTCTGCGCAAGACTTTTTGTCCCTACGAGGCCACCGTCATTTACCCGACGGGAGGGGTGAGCGAGTGAGCCCTGCAATCTAGAATTTGACCACTGATGTCACTGTTTTCAACCCATTTTACACAGTGGCCCTTTAAGGCAGTACAGGAGGAGGTGCACATTAATAATCCTCCAGGACTGTAACATGCTCATGTTTAACCCAGACAATGTGTCATGTGACTGCAGTTGGTTCAGATCCAGGTCGGAACATGTTCTCACCACAAACAAACTGCACCAGAGTTTGTTTGTAACCAGACTGAGACCACCTCTTCAAGGAGGTCTCGATCCAGTTGTTTTGGTGTGCACCGAGTGCGATTGCTTTGTTCACTCCTGCCCAAACGAACCACACTTATTGGGCAAAGTAACTTGAGTTTGATTGAGCCGAACCAAACGGCAGGTGTGAAAGCACCCTGAATCTACATTGATGCAGGTACAAGCTGCTGAAAATTGGGCAGCTGCATGAATTCACTGGTCTTAGAAGGTCAAGATTATTGTGTGATTGGGTGCAAAATGAAAGTCGAGCTCTACTACAAGTGTTTGTAATATAATCTGCTCTTGAAAACTAAAAAGGTCAACTGAAGATGAGGAAAATACACTTTGTAGTTTAAAATATTGTGTGGTGGAGAAAACCCAGCAGTGGTTCTCTTCTGATTCAGGTCTCTGGCTGCCTGTGATTTATTGCTATGATTTTTTTTAATCGTGATACCCTAGGCAGTGTGGAAATGTCATATTTCTCCCAAAACTGTCCACTAAATTAATGTTTGTTATTTAAGACGAGTGCAGAGACATGTGCAATGGTTTTACTGGCCTGAAGGATTGAAACGTTTTTATTCTCTTTTGTGTTTGTAAAGCATTTCATTCATATTGTAAGTAGGGCTGGGTATTGTTTGGGAATTTTCTGATACTGGTGCTGAAATGGTGCCTGAATTTGAAAAAAAAAAAAAATAGAAATCACAAAACACGACAGTCAACAACATTAAAGAATTTTGTTTTATTATAAGGCAGATTTGAACTAGAATTTGAACAATATATTAACAGTTAAAGTTTAAAGTGCATTTAAATATTTTAATTAATACAAACCAAACAAATTTACATACCAAATACACATAATACATACAACCTGTGGTTCCCAATTGGTGGGTCACAGTCCAAAAGTGGGTCCTTGGTCCAGGGCAGACCTTGAAGTAATGACAAAGATAAAACCTGGACCCCCTGGCTGGGCCAACTACAATAATTTAATACTTCATGACAGTAAAACTAACAGCAAAATATATTTTGAGCTGGTACAAACAAATCCAGTTTCAACTCAGCTACAAACATCCGATATTATCATGTTTGTGCAGCAGATAGAATTTTTTTTTTTTTTTATCATTTTCATTTCTTGTAGTATATGTTCCATTGCAATATGTAGTAATTTTATCAAAATGTTCTCCTCTTTACCTCATTAATGGGAGTACTGCTCTACTTCCTGCATCTCTGCAGTGACCTTGGCAGCGAGAAGTATGTATTTATATCAGCGCTACTATAAATTGAAAATTCTAACTTCTGTGTCAATTAAAGTGCACAGAGCAGCTTATCAACTCATATTGTCATCAGGGTAGATGAACTGAGTAGTTTTCTGTTGGGTATTTTTCCTGTAAAGGGAGATTTGAGACATTGAGTTAACTAGCTAACCACATTTTTCTTGTGTATTTTTGCTAGCGTCCACCATTTAATCTTCGCATGGGACATATGTCGAGCATGTATTTTTCTCATGTTAGGCGTGTTGTTACAATACACATGACAGCTTTAGTTCTCTGTGGACTCATTACGGGTGCTACCAATAAAGTTGTTGTCATGTAATAAGGAACCCAAAGTGATAACATCTTTTATTCATTTAGGCATCATTTTTATTCTATTTTATTTATTTACTTACTTAATTTTATTTTCTTTAAACATTTTGTGTTAGCTTCAAGTTGATGGTCAGTCTGCAAAGAACTTGGCTGCTAGAGGCATACCACGTTTACTGCAGATACTCTGTGAACTCACAACAGGATTAAACCTGAGTTCAGCAAGTATTGTCAATGTCCAGTGTCTGATTATGCACCACGACACAACACAGAGTGGTTGGGATCTGCAGACCATCCCAGCTACATTTGGTTTTCCTGGCCAAAAACGACACCTCTCCTGACTAATTTCATGTATTGAACAGAGGAAAACCTTGTCAAATTGTTTTGGTAAGGCCTGTACACACATGCATGTGTTTAAAAGTGGAGCATATGGTGGGTTTGTCTTGCTTCTCCATTTATTTATTTGTTTATTTCATCTGAACCGTGTAGATTCCACAGTGGAAAAAGACCTCAGTCCCTTGACCACAAATTTGGTTTTTAAGCCCTGTGTAATTCCTTCACCTTCACTTTTATCAAATTAGCCATCTTTGCCAAGGTGTATGGGTCGCTGTTGTTGCTGCAGAAATCCACATGAAATGATTCTGATATATAATCATTTGTTAGGGCTTTATGAATGTAAGATTTGCAATCAACATTACATTACTAACCTAAAGAAAGGCTGCTATCATCATCATCATCAGTCTCCCCATCATCGATGGGGCCAGGGACGCCCACACTGCCATCCTATGTGCTTGGCATGGGGTCACAGAAGCAGTGGAACATGGTGCATCCCTCTGCTTTCAAGTGTATCCCATGCGTCACTAGACACTTGATTTAATTTGACATGTTCCCCCC